TATTTCTCACCTCTATATTTTATTTATTTACTTAAAAGCATTTTTGCTGTTAACAAGCATGTTATCTCCAGAGACACAAATCCACAGTTTGAGAACTTCAAAACTAAGCCCCTCTGATGGCATCTTCTAGACTGAGAACTGAGTCCCATTGGGTAGATAGAAAGATTAACCTAAATAATCTATACAGAAACCTCTGGAATCCCATAAGATTAGGTCCCTAATCCATGAACTATTGGAATTCATTTACAAACCTTTTCTTAATCATTACATGAATATATTGTCTCATTCTATAGAATTACAATTTATAATCCCTATTCCATGATGAGATATTTTTGAGCTATAATGTATCTTAATTAAAACCATCTTTAGATAGGGATTTTTCCCCTCAAAAAGCATTTTATCAAAAAAACCCAATTTAAATAAAAAATCCAATTTAAAAAAAAAATCATTGATTTTTATCCACCCCACACATAAATTAGAACTTGTAACTGATGATTGCCAATGCACAGCCAGCCACTGATTACCAGATAGCTCAGGAGCACATTAGGCATCAAATATTTTAAAAAGGCACTAGATGGGGAGTTATATAGGCCCATATTTACAAGATCAGATTTGGTCTCCTTACAGAGAGTTGGACGGTGAATAAGAACACAGGGCTATGAACAGGAGGAGAGAGAGCTTGGCAAAATGTTTCTGTGCTGTCATTCTGCCTTCAGAACAGCAATTACCCATTCTTCAAGCCTACTATTCCTTCCCAGAAGGAAGGTGTACACCCAAGGCTACCGGGAGATCACTTTGGCTGCCCAGGCACATCAGTTTGGGTTTTCCCATTAGCATGTGATAAGACCTTCTGCATCTTCACTGTTTATTACATGCTGTTCAGCACTGCAGTGGAACAATCACTTTGCCTCCTCCTGCAGAGAGAAGCCCAGGATGAAGACAGAGCTGTATAACACCACAACTATTAGTCCAGAGCTGTCGAACATTCTCCCTTCGGTGCAGGAAGAATTACTCCTCATAAGTTAATGACGCATTCTTAATCTTAAAGGATCGGAAAAGATTTGTTCAGGGATAACTAAATACAGTGACTCAAGATGTTAAAACTATCAATATATTTCAAAAACTGATCAAGGTCACTGGTCCCTCTGCTTTGAGATAAGTCTCATAACCAGCAGTGTCTATAATGGCACTCTCCAAAACTTTTTGAGACAGCTCTTTTCCCTTGGCTCTCAGCATAGTGTCTTCTGTAGTTGGCAAGAGAGAGACCAGCACTACTTTTTGTACTACTGTAGATATGCTGCCGGAACAGGAGGAAAAACAGATTCCAAGAAAAGCTGAACTATGGCAAGGCATCAGAACTCCTTGAAGTATTCTGTGCTTCAAGAACATACATTTTGCATGACTCTCCAGAATAACTACCTTGCTTCACATGCCTTTCCAACTGACCTTATATCAGAGCAGGTGACAATGCCACTCATTACTCAGCCCTTTCCTCACACTGCTTTGCTTTCTCCCAGTGGATTAGTTCTTGCCTGTTCTATCTCAGGTATCGCTAAGGTGCCTTTCATTGTGATATCTAAGCACTTAAATAATCACAAAAAGGAGGAATCAGATTTCTTCAGCAAATTCTGAAGACCTAAGGTTTACAAGCCGACTGTTGAGAAATACTGTACATCCTTTTCCGGGACTGCAAAGAGGGTCAGAATTCATAGCAACAGACAGGACAAACAGAAGCAGCTCTCCTGATACCAGCATCTGACTGACAAGATGGCTATACACATACACAGCATGCCATAACACTATATTGTAGCTACTATCTTACTAGATACATACATTATGCTTATCACCATAAGGATGCACACTAGCTCCCTGATTTTGGTGCCAGAGGGAAGAGGGAAAAAAAGTAACTGCCTTTGCCAAACAATAATGTGAGGAAAAGCACACAAGAAGAACATAGGCACTGCATCTGCTGTTGTGACTCAATATTCACACCAACAAGCACTCTGTTTTGGCACTTCCACAAAGACTGAAGCAGCTGCAAAGCCAGGCAGAGGACTCGCTCCCTGCATTTAATTATCTAAGTTAGCATACAGCACCCATCACTGTCATGTCTTAGCACTGGCACAAGTTGGTCAGTTTTATGAAGTGGGCAAGCGGTTGTAGTCTCATAATCTATTATGTCACAAAGTACTTTGCTCCTTGTTCTATTCAGTGAGTTTGCCCATAATGTTTCTCTCTGAGTAGAAACACAGTTTTCCTGGGGGTTATCAGAAGATTCATGTTGGAATATCTGTCTCCTATCCCAGCAGAAGTCTAGTGAGAAATGATGCTATACAAACCAGTTGCAAACCTCATTCTCCTGAGCTTATAAACAGTTATCTGGGTCCAGGTTTACAAGTCTAAAGCAAACAGATACCCCATAAGAAAGATGTATTGAGGTGGCATGAATCTTCAGTACCTGCCATATTCAGAGCAGCGTTCCTTCTGAGCTTGCTTCACAGAGTGGTTGTCACATCACCTTCAACTTCAGGGAACACTAAGAGGCTTGGCAGAAGGCAAGAGTGATGACAAAGCCCATATTAGGCACTTGTCAGTTAGGAATGGGTTTAAATATAAATTTATTATATTTAGATAAAGGGTGAAGGTACTGGCCTCAGCTTTGGGGAGCATCAAGTTCCAGGTCTAAATTACATGAGTGAGCCCAGTTAAGCTGGAGTCCAGCTTGTCTTATATTTTTACAGGTTACATTAAATACGTCTGCCAAAATAATCCTTATAGTCATTACAAAGTAAAACTTTGCCATTTCTAAAAGCAGAAACAAATGATTTAGAAGCTGGATAGCCAGACAGCCTGGTGACAACATACTGCACTGCTGGAAACTCCAGCTTAGCGTTCTAGACATTGTTATTCAAGGTATGAAATGAGCTAGAAGGGGAGCAGATCTAGTCTTTGGGCAAAGCAAGCAACGTATCACTGAGATGTCCCTTCCAGTTTATCAAAAAGTGACCTAGATGGTCTTAGACAAAAGCCTTGTCCATTTTAGTCCTCCTATACAGAAGGTACGAGTATGATTATGAGACTTACAACAAAATAGAATCATTAGAGTAAAATTCCACTACAACCACCACATTCTCTACAGTTTTATAGATCCTTAACTTCTAAACATGGCAGGGAAAAGTCAAAGGATAAATACTTGGCATAATTACATTCTGCTTCAGCAACTAAATTTAGTATTTATTATTAAATATCAGATCAGGAAACAGCGTATGTGCATTGTTGTTGTTATAGCTGTGTCAGTCTCAGGATATTAGAGACACAAAGTGGGTGAGGTATTATCTTTTATTGGACCAACTGCTGTTGGTGAGAAAAAGCTCCCAAGCTACACAGAAGACCACAGCGAGAGCTCTGTGTAGCCTGAGTTTGTCTCTCTCACCAACAGCAATTGGTCCAATAAAAGATATTACCTCGCACACCTTGTCTCTCTAAACAATAGGTTACTAAATTATTCTGAGGAACCCCATTTTCCCAAGGGACTGGAAGTGGAATACACAGCATTTCACATCCATGTCACCAGGAGTCCTTTATCAGATGTTCATACAGTGACTAGCACAAGGGGGCCCAACCTGGTTGTGGCCTTCAGACTATACTGCAGTATACATGTTAAATAATTTAACATTTTAATAACATTACATTGGCACTGACTAAATATTATCTTCAGTGATTTTGCCTATATCCCTCCAAGGGAGGCAGATCTTCTAGAAAAGTGGTTTCTTGACCCTTTTTGGCTCAGGACCAATTTATAAAATGTTGATAGCCTCTCGCAAGCCAGTAAACAGGCTGGGGGGGGGGGGGGGGGAAGAAATGAGAGGTGTCAGGTTGCAGATCCCATCCCATCCCACCCCACCCCTGGAGTGGCAGTTCTGGTTCTGAAGGGCTGACTGGACTTGGCTCGCAACTCCAGGCACTGCAGCATCTGGGGTTGCAGCACCCCTCAAATTGGGCTCATGGTCACGATGGCAGCCCACTGCAGGCAGCCCCCGTGGCACCAGAGACACAGCAGCCACCACGGGACACCACGAAAGATTCTGGCGACCCAATTTCAGGTCACGACCCGGTGGGGCTGAGAAACCCGGTTCTAGAACAGCTCATGCCCCATCACCGCTGGCCGGGCAAAGCCTGTTACAACACACGACCCGCGTTGCAGCCCAGTTACAAACACGGAGCCGGTCACGGGGCTTGCCCTCCTTTTCAACAACAAGGGGGGGACTCAGACTTTGTTCCTCCCCTGCCACGGCCTGTTTCCGACCAGGCAGCTGCGTCTCCGTGGGTCACGGCTGTGAACCAGTCCCACCGGGGACACTGCCCGAAGCGAGAGGTTTTCCTACGCCCGACGCCAGGCTCCAAGCCGGCCGACTCCCGCCCCAGCGCCGAGGCACCAACAGCAAAGGGGCTTCGGGGCCGCTATAAACCGCAGGGCCACGGGCTGAGCCGGGGGGGGGGGCGGCGGGCGCTGCACGGCGGGCGCGGGGAGAAGACCGGGAAAGCAGCCGCCGCCTCTGCGCCATAACCCGGGGCCGGCTGCGGCCCGCCCCCCTCGCGCAGGGCCCGCGGGCGGAGGCCGCAGCCGGGGTCGGCGGGGCCTTACTCGCGCTCCCCCCCCCCGCGCCTCCGCGGCCGCGTGCGAAGCGCGTTATCCCCCCCCCCGGGGAGGAGGGGGGGGGCGGAGGCCGCCCGCGGTGACTCAGGGAACCCGTCCCCAGCGCGAGCTCCAGCCTGGGGCCCAGCGCAGCGGCCCGTAGCGCAGGCCCGGGCCCAGCACCGAGCCGCCACGCGGCGCCGCCCGGGGCGGGGGCTGGTTTCGGGGCGGGGGGGGGAGCCCCGCGGAGGGGGCCCCGCCCCGTGGCGGCCCAGGCCGGGCCCGGCGGGACGCTCCCCTCAGGGCCGGGCCCGCGCGGCCTTGACCCCGCGGGGTGGGGGCGGCGCTCGGCCCGTTCACTCACCGGCTCCGGCTGAACCCGCGGCCTCCACCGCTGCTGCGACCGCGCCGCCTCGCCTCCTACGACACCGCCCCACAGGCCGCCGGCTCCCGCCTGCCGCGCGGGCTGCTGGGAGACGCAGTCCCCCGAGCGGCCTCCGCCCATTGGCCGCCGCGGGGGAGGGGACTACAACTCCCGGCAGGCCCCGCGCGGGAGCCGGCCTCCTGCGCACCACGCGCTGCACGCAAGGACGGGGGGGGGGCGGGTGCGACGGACGGGGTCAAAGGTCTCCTCACTGGGAATGGGGCCTTATGGGGTAGACTCCCCGGGGGGGGGAGGGCCCAGAATGGGGGGGGGGTGTTAAACCCCCTCACTGGGGTCGGGGGCAGGGAACAGGGTGAGGGTGGCTAAGCCCTGTGACTAACCTGGGTCCTGAATTGGGCCGCAAGGAAGATTTTAAACAGAACTCGTGGGAGCTGGCTGGAACGGGGGGCCGCTCAAATCCTGTCCCAGAGGAGAGCCCCTCTTTGCCTCGCGGCCAGGACTGTCCCGTCTCCACCTCCCACAAAGCCTCGAGCCCCCTGTGACGGGTTGGGTCACAGAAACCCCCTGGGAGCCGCCCCCTGATGTGCCAAGGCTACTTCTGCCCCTGCTTTCCGGCCCTGCCGGCTGAGGACTCCAGCGCCCTGCCTGCTTTGAGCCAGAGCCGCTAGCCTGCTGCAAACCCAGACCCAGGTCTGAACCACGTCCCCGAACAGCTGTAGGCTTAACTGAAAGCAGCTTACAGAAGCGTGCCTGTCCTTGACACTCAGATGCCCAACTCCCCATGGGGCCCAAACCCTGAATAAATCCATTTTACATAAGCTTTATACAGGGTAAACTCATAAGTTGTTCGCCCTCTATAACACTGATAGAGAGAGATACACAGCTGTTTGCCCCCCCCCCAGTACGAATACATACTCTGGGTTAATTAATAAGTAAAGTGATTTTATTAAATACAGAAAGTAGGATTTAAGTGTTCCCAAGTAGTAACAGACAGAACAAAGTGAATTACCAAGCAAAATAAAATAAAACCTGCAAGTCTATGTCTAATAAAACTGAATACAGACAAAACCTCACCAGTTCCAGTAAGCTTCCCTTTGCAGACTAATCTCCTTCTAGTCCCGGTCCAGCAATCACTCACACCCCCTGTGGTTATTGTCCTTTGTTCCAGTTCCTTTCTTGGGGGTGGAAAGGCTCTCTCTCTAGCCAGCTGAAGACAAAATGGAGGAGTCTTAAATAGACTCTCTCTTGTGGGCGGAGACCCCCTCCTCTCTCCTATGCAAAGTCCAGCTCCAAGGTGGAGTTCTGGAGTCTCCTGGGCAAGTCACAGGTCCATGCAAGACTCACAGTTTTTACGGACAGAAGCCATTGCCCACCTGGCATCTTGAACGTCTCCAGGAAGACTTCTTATGTGGACTGGAGCCTTCCAAGATGCACTGTTCCTTAAGTGCTTCTTGATTGGGCACTTAACTTTGTGAAGTCCTTTCTCCAGGAACTGACCAAATGCTCTACTAAGGTTATTTAGAAATCAAGCCAGTACACGGCCAATATTCATAACTTCGAATACAAAAATGATACATGCAAACAAATAGGATTGATAGATTCAGTAGATCATAACCTTTACAGAGATATGTTACATGGCATATGTAGCATAGAACATATTCCAGTTATGTCATATATTCATAAGCATATTTCCATAAAGCCTTATGGGGGGCACCGTCACACCCGTTCTATGTCAGGGTTTCTGAAACCTCTACATGTGACTGGGAGGGGCCGACCCCCAGGACTTGAGAAGATTCATTACTGGAGAATAGGTCATCCACCCACTATGAATGGATCTGGAAGCTCAGCGAGAGGCGTAGACCTTTCTGCAGGGCATGGGGAGCTATGGAATCATGGACGTTAGAGAGAAATCACAAAGTTTGTATTCTGCTTCTGACCAGTACTGGGTTAAATTCATTCTCCATGTGATAGGAAAGGTCAGGACATGAGACTCAATCTGGCCTCTCCAGCAGGCACCCTCCCTGAAGCTGGCAGGAAGCTGTGCCAATCTGGAAAGGATGCCACAGAGGAGGTTAAAAGGGAAACAGCTAGTTCACATGAAATCAGCTGCAGAAAACACAGGCAGCCTTTTGCCAAAGCCTGATGAGCTGGCAGTTTCAGAACAGGCCTACACGGAGCTGCTGCGGCTGCCTTTGCCCAGATGCTGCTTCCTTGTTTGGAGTTCTCCTCCCCACTTTCTGCAGCCATCGCTGCACTAGAATAGGACAGAACAAGAAATCCACGAGTTATGACCTAAAAATTCATGTGTTGAGGCCGGCACATGCAGTGCAGCTTTCCCAGCAGGCACTGGGGATCTGCAAACTGGCCTAGTTAGTGGCAAATTCAAGGGATTGGAATCTGGCTAGGAACCAAGAGGTTTAGAGGCTGGGTTAGAGCAGAAGATCCAGAGTGTGGATTCTCAAGTTCTGTTCCTGGTTCCTCACTGCTTGAGTCTGGGCAGGTCACTTCACTTCTTTGCCTCAGTTTCCTCACCAGAGAGAGCGAGAGCGCAGAATGGAGCTCGTCTCCTTAGCAAAGCTGCAAGGGTGAGTTTGTAAAGTGCTGCCCAGGCTTCTTAAGTCTAGCTCTGCAAAGTCAGGCGGGGAATCTCCTGAGAACTGACTCGTGGTTTTGAAGCATCCGGGTTCCTGCCTCTGCCTGAAACTGGAAATGAGGCCATTTCTCCTGACCTTTTGGAAACTGAACAAGTATGTATTTACAGTTCGCTTTTAGCCTTGGACAGCGACTGGAGGGTCTGGGCTTGTTCCAAGCCACCTCTGTCCACCCAAAGCTGGGAAGGTCCCCATGCGGGTGCCCACTCCTAGTGATTCCTTTGTTGCACGCTGCAGTTTTAAGAAACATCCCGATGGCTTTCAGGAAGTCTGGCTCTGGGGGCAGCAAGGCAGGGGCAGGAAAGTGGTGGAGCAGCACAACGGGTGTAGAAGCCCTGCCTTCCCTTCAGAAAAGCGCCTGGTTTCGGAAGCAGTGAAGGAAACAGCTATCGTTGCTTATAGGCCCCAAGCCAGAGGAGTCTAGAATGTTTTTCATGGACCTTTGAAATTACCCACAGCTGCTCTTATGATTTGTAGGACCCCAAAATATCAGCCAGGGAAAAACAGCATGGAGTTGCCTCCTCGCCTATGCCTGCTGCTAATGAGAAACGGTCTGTGTCAGAAAGCTGCCCTGGGATGAGGGCTCTATGGCAACAGAAGCCCAAGTGATTGTTTCTCTCTATAAGCCTTGTAGCTGGAAAGATTTGTGTGTTCACAGCAAGGCCCCGCTGCTGTCGCTACCGAGCCACTCCTAGCCCACACCTGATTCACAATGACTCTTTCCTTGTTGGCCTGCGCAGAGTCTTTATGGGCTAGAGATCAGAGCATAGGGCTCAGTTTGAGATTCTGCCATTGACTCACCATCTGGGCCTGGGCAAGACTCTTAATCTCTTTGTGCCTCAGGTTTCTTACCTGTCCAATGGGGCTAAGAATAACTTGCCTTCTTCAAGAGGGAAGGGCATGAGGCCGGATTCCTCTATGTGTGTACTGGGCTTCCAGCAGGGAAGGAGCTGAATGTTATTTCCTTTATTTGTGGTGAAGGGCAGCTGTGATGGTCCCATGGCAAATAACAAAACAAACAAAGGCCCAGCTCAGCTGATGCTGATTTCCAGCTGGAATCCAGTTGGTGCCTGCAATCTTTGAGGACCACAGAGCCTGCTCAGCTGCCCCAGCGCTCTCTTTACAGACAGGCTCTTGTTCTCAGTGGAGTTTTACTGGGAGCTGACACCTGTTTCATTTATTTGCCCAGTTGAGTCTCAGGCCTTAGAATTCAGCCAATAAAAACCCAGCTATGTACACTTAGGACTCAGTCCTCAGCCAATGGAAAGTCTGGCACTGGCTGCAGTGGATTTGGGTTAGGCCCACTGGCGCTATGCTGCCCAGCCTGCTTTGGAAAGATATTGCAGTACCCAGATAACTGCATCGCAGCCAGCTAACCAAGCACCACCTGTCCCCTTCCCTGGGTGGCTAGGGCAGCTGGGCCCTTCCTAGTGACAAGTGAACATGCAGGGGACTTGCAGACAGAAGCAGAGGACAAGTTGTGGGAGAAGAGGGAAGATCCCTGGTTTGACTGTGAACCCTGCACTGCATCAGGTGCTGCTCTGCCCCCTGGAGCCAATGCATGGGCTGTTCCCCTCCCATCAGTCAGCAGGGTCCCTCTGGGACTGGCACACGGACTGAGCCCTGCTATATACAAGTGGAAGGAAAATCTGAGGCTTTCCGCACTCACAGGCTTCTTGGAGCATTGCAGGGCTTGCCAGCATGGCCTGTGGGTTTTTCCACCTGCAGATGGTATCGTTTTAATTCCTCCTGCTGGAGGCCCACGATCCATCAACCTCAGGGCTGGATTTGTGACATGGTGCTAACTTAAGGCCTCTGATGTCTTTATGTGTGAATTTGTGATGGCAAGAACTCACCTCCCAGCCTCCACCCCAAGAGCCAACCTAACACCTGATGTGTCCTCTGTTGGAACAGATCTAACAGGATGTTTCAGGGGCATGGAGGAGGGTTCTGAGGTACACACCATGGTTCAATTCCCTACTCTGCCACTGACTCCCTGTGTGACCCAGGGCAAGTCACCAGCCTCTCTGTGCCTCACTTCCCCAGCTATCTCCCAGCCCTTGTGTGTTGTTGATTTAAATTCTAAGCCCTTGGAGGCAGGGACTGCCTCTGTGTCTGTGCAGCTCCTGGCACAATGGGGCCTTGAACGCAGTTCGGCCTCTAAAGTGCTACTGAAATACAACTAATAGTGAGTCATTTTTAGTTCCATTAAAAAGCATCACTCCTGGGTGTAAGGCAGCCTGTGCGGCTGTGCTGGATGCAGCGCAAAGGTCTAATAAAATTCATGGTTTTGCTCCATGGCTGCAGCGGTGTTAACAGGCCACTTCACCGTGGCTGGTCCCTTCAAACATGTGTTAACCGCTCATGTGAACAATCTGGTCCACATTGGATCGAGCTGTGACACTCCGAGTTCCTTTCCCAGGCCTGAAGCAGAGCTCGGGGTAAGCTCAGAGCTCGTCTCTCTCACCCACAGAAG